TGTGTTCTCTCTGAATCTAGCTTTTCCAAGATCAGCATCCTCTTATTCACGTAAAGGCATGGCTATTGATTTTCAGAGACTTGGATGGACTTGCTATAAGGTTAGTGAATGACAGCTGTGGAGCTGAATAATCCACTACCAGCTCCAAGGAGTGAGGGGAACCAGTATTAGATATAGATATAGATATAGATATAGATATAGATATAGGTCATATGTTTGTTCACATGCATATAACTGTGTGACTTGTAGGCACACATAATCTCCCCTAAAATATGCTGTATATTCAGTTGTAGATGGGTTTGTCTGGATGGAAGTACTGTGACTATGAGACAGATGCATTTCAGTCCCATACAAGTATCTCCTGCATTGAAAACTTTCAAGTGTCTCATGGTACTCGATATTCCATTTCTGTATGTAAGTGCTTTGACTGCCTCGTGTACTCAAAGAAGATTTGTTGAAGTCAAGCTCACATGTACAATATCTGTAGTACATCGTAGATGATTTTGTGTGCAGGATGTTTCTTCCCTGCATTGCTGAAATGGGTGACTGCTGTTGATTCTAACTAAAGAGGGCTAAACATTCACAATACAACATGGGCAGGAAAACAGAACACAACAATTTCACAGAAGAGTGAGAACAGTAATAAAAATAATTAAATATTGATGCATATTTAACCTGGGTGACTCTTAGTAGTTGAAACAATTTTGAATTTAGAATTGAAGTAGGTCTGTGTTTCCAAGAATTGATAATGAGAGACAGCTCTACTTAGAGAAAGTGAAATTGGACAACTGTGAGAAGAGTGCAAATCTAAGAGATCCGCCTGGAAAAGACACCAGATTACCAGCAGAGACATGGGCCATGAAGACTCTCTTAATGACATCATGTGGGGTAAATGGAAACGACACCAGAATACAGCAGAGACATGGGCCATAAAGACAGAAGACGACAATGTTGATGATGTCATATAGGATAACAGCCAATGTGCTAATGGCAACTGAAATATGATCTTTCCTGTAAGTAACAGAGACCTGTCTGACTGTGTCTATGCTTGACTAAGTCTGGAAGGGAGCGCTTATCTCTGAAGACTCTGAACATGTTCTGAGAAAACATCTGAGCAATGAAACACGTAGAAATATCCATAGATTCCTACCTGGGTATTGTCAGAGAAGGAAGACAGAAATGATCAATAGTATAGTAGGCAACTGACAGTAATTGTTGGTAACCCTCCAAACAGGTTGTTCATGCACACGCCAATAACATAAATAACTATGTTCTGCCTATCCACACTGTCCTAATTTATCAAATTACAATTGATACATGATTTTGTAGGGGGTTATATTTTAATGAAATATTAGTGTTTAAACAATAATTTCTGATCATAATTTATCTGTTCCCCAAATAATCCTAGATCACATTCACTTCCTTACTAACCAAATACCCAAAGAAAATTTCTCTCTCTCTTTCTTTCTCTCACACACTCTCTCAGACACACAAACACACACACACACACACACACACACACACACACACACACAAGCACACAAAACACCATATCAGAAATGACTATATACAAACAAAAGAATAACAAGAAAAAATGCCTGAATAAAATTATGTATGACAAAATGTATAAAATATACAATGTGCTTATTTTGTATTGGTCTTAGGCATAAAACCTACTGTGAAGAAGGCTTAATACAGCCAGTGACATTTCACTGAAGTACATTATTTTTCCTTTGCATGTAAGTACCAAATGCAGATAGTTTCTTGTTTAGGATTGAGTGTCCATGCCCAATCCCCCCCTTTCAGTATTAGAATCCCCTGCAGCTTGAACCTGTGCAAGCCCCACATTTACTTACACAGTCTACTGGGTTCATGTGTGCACCAGTCCTATTGTGTCTGAAAAAGACTTTATCCTTGTAGTCATTCAACACCTGTGGGTCTTAAAATCTTTCTGTCTCTTCTCCTGCATTTGTCCCCGAGTATAGAGGAAAAAGTTTGCCTGAGACAACACATTTATGACTGAATGTGCAAACATCTTTCATGCTACATAGACTTGAGAGTCTCCATATCACCTCCCATATTTTGCAAGAAGCTTCGCTCATGATAGTTGTGTGAGGTACAGATTAATGTGCATACATAGGCATGTCATTCAGAATTATTGTGCTGCTATATTCATTTACACAGTTGTCCACAAATATCAAATCACAGCAATCTGTCAATACTATTCCTTATCTTGTGCTGACAGATGAACATAAAATTATTTTTCTTCTATGAATCATAAAGTAGATATCTGACATCCAGGAGATCTGATTTGTGACCCCTGTAAAAGAGTCCTAGGACATTTGCTTTTCCCATCATCCCAAGGCCTATCTTGTCTCAGATTCTAGTAGTTTCAGGCTTGGGCTACATTCATAGAATGTGCTTTAAATCCAATCTCACCATCAGGTCACCAATGCAGGTCACAGTGTCCTGTTAGGTTGATTCTCCTATAGAGCAGGCCAAGTACCTTCTACTGCTATGAACAGTAGTCAGTAGGGGTGAAGTCTGCAGTTAGGCACCAACTCAAATTCTCTATGTTCCGTGAGATATGTAAATGTTGACTTCAGAAATAAGATGTTACAATTGACTTGGACATAGCCTAAGATCTCTTGTGGTTTCCATGGAGTTACTTTGGTCAATGACTGAATTTATAAAAGCTTATCCAGAAATGTCAATCTTCCCCATATCCAGGAGTTACTTGAAGGTGAATCTTATAATAATTT